TTGCTTTTCAATCTTTACAGTTTTTTGAGCTTTCACTTGTTTCCCTGCCCCACTACTGTTTAATGAAAGACTTAGATTGATTTGATTTGTAGCTGTGATTTACACATTAGGTCTCTCTTTGATTAATTGTTTAAGGCCCACAAAAAATATTTTAATACTAAAATATAATTTTTTTTTTCTCTTTCTAGGTGGATCTCGAGCCAGAAGGCAAAGTATTCGTGGTAATAACCCTTACAGGGAGTTTCACTGAAGGTAAGAATGAGTTTTGGGTAGTTTCCAGAATATATGTAATACGTAATCCTGGTTTATACTCAGTAGGAATTTCTATCATGGAAATTATAAAAAAGAGCATGTTGTAAGAGATGCTTAAAAAAATCACTTTCTTAAGCTGGGCTGGCTAGTATTTTGTTGCCCAGTGATCTGTTGGTTCAGGTTGCCAAATTAAATATATTCGCTAAATCTGGCAATCTCACATTTCATTTAACACACTCACTGAGTTTTTGTTTTTATTCAGTGTCATTGTAGCTGAATGGTTTTTGCGTCTTTTTGGTTCATGACTGTGGAACTCTACTTTACATCTTTGGTTTTGTGCCAACCTTTTAGTTTGCCCGTGAATGTCTATGAAAGAAATTTAGGGATCCAGTTATCTTCTTTTTAATCTCTATCTCATTTGTGACCTGTAGGGGATTCTGTTCCTCATCTGTGGCTACCATACTCCCTACTCCCCCATCCAATTTTTTTTTTAATTGAGGTAAAATTTATATGGGGGTGAACTGATAGATCAGAAGTGAACAATTTGAATTTTGACAAATGCATACAACTGCATAATCAGCACCCCAATCCAAGATACAGGACATTTCCATTATTGTGAACATTTCCCTGTACCCTTTTTCAATCCCCGGCTACCAAAGGCAATATGTAAAGTGCTTTATTTCACCACAGGTTAGTTTTACCTACTCTAGAAGTTCATATACATGGAATTATACAGTATGTTCTCTTTTATGTCTGGTTCCTTTCACTAAGCATACTTTCTAGAAGATTCATATCATTGTGTACATCAGTATTTTTTTCATTTTATTTCTGAGTAGTATTCCATTATATAAATGTAGCACCCATTTGTTTACCCATTCTCCTCTTAGTGGACTTTTGGGGTTTTTCCTATTGTTGTCTATTATGAATAATACCTTTATTAACCTTCTTACACATAAATTTTCCTGGACATAACACTTTCATTTCTCTTGGGTGATTATATAGGAGTCGAATTGCTGGATAATAAAGTAGGTGTATGTGTAACTTCAGAAGAAATTTCCACATGGTTTCCAAAGTGGTTTTATTACACTCCCACTAGCAATGTATGAGAGTTTCAATTACTCCATATCCTTATTAATACTTTCTATGGCTGTTGCTTTTCATCGTAGACATTCTAGTGGGTATGAAATTATATCCTGTGGGTTAAATTTGCATTTCCCTGATGTTGAGCACTTTCTCATGTGCTTATTGGCCATTTGTTTGTTTTTTTGATGATTTTCAGTTCCAGTCTTTTGTCCTATTTTATAAAATTGGATTTGTCTTTTTATTATCGATTTAGAAGAGTTCTTGTTTTCTGGATATGAGCCCTTTGTGAGAAATATGTGTTGTGATTACTTATTCCCAGTCTGTGGCTTGCCTTTTCATTTTCTTAATGGTGTCTTTGAGCAAAAGTTTTAAGTTTCTAGGAAGTTCAATTTATTAATCTCATCTTTTGTAGTTCGTATGTTATATGTCCTAAGAGATCTCTCTGCCGTAGGGTCACAAAGATATTCTTTTTTTTTTTTTTTTTTTTTAGAAGCAAATAGTTTTAGGTTTTCTGTTTAGGTCTGTGTGCCTTCTTAATATTTGTGTGTGATGTGACAGAGGAGTTGAAACATTTTATTTTCAATACACTAATGCAGTTGTTCTAGCACCATTTATTGGAAAGTCTCCCCCAACCACTTGAATCACCCTGGAACCTTTGTTGAAAATCAGTTGACCATATAATGTGGGTCTGTTTCTGGATTATCTGTTCTGTTCTGTTGATCTATTTGTCCATCGTTATGCCAGTATTACGCTGTTTCTCATTACTGTTGCCTTATAGTGAGTCTTGTGGTTACATAGTATGAGTCCTCTAACTTTGTTCTTTTTTGTATGTTTAAGGTTATTTTAGCTATTCTTGGTATTTTGCATTTTGATGTCAGTTTTAGAATCAGCTTATATATTTCCAGACAAAATCCTGCTGTATTTTGAATTGAAGTAGTGTTGGACCTATAGATCAGTTAAAGGGGAATTGACACTTGATAATCCTAAGTATCTTTAAACTCATCTATAGTCACATTAGTCAGTTATCGTCCTTGGACATAGTCTTTGCTCATAAGGCATAGCCAGTATGAGGTTTTGGTAGAAATCCCAAGATGTTTTAAGCCCTTTAATTTTATGGCACTCAAACTTCTCTTTCTCCTATGGGTGGGAAACAGCTGAAATCTCGTTCTTATCTTTCAGCATTCTAGCTCTTGCTCCTATCTGGACCTCTTAGAGTTTCCCTTGCACATGCACAGTTTAGGAACATGTGAGGACTTGAAGAGTTTACGTATGTGGAGGTTCTTCTTTCTGTGGCCCCATCTTTCCAGGCTTTCTTTCCTCAATATCCAGTCATCTGGTAGTCTTGAATTTTGTCTGTTCTGTTTTCAAGCCAATAAAACTGTAGTTCCATATTGAGTTCTATTTACCCAACCCTGCACACCCTGGGGAATAATCTGGAGAAAAGCCCTACAAATGTGGGTCTCACCTAACGCAGTTTCCCTCTTTCACGTTCAAATTCTCTCTGTTTGTGCATGTTTTTGGTTGTTCTCTCATATCAACTAGTTGTTTTAAAATATATTTTCCAGGTATTTTAATAGTTTGTTTGGAGGGTTGGTCCATATCAAGCTACTTCGCTATTACTCAAACCTCATGAAGATTTTTAAGCATGTGGCTTAATGGTTTGTATGTTTGGTATAGGCATTTTGCAAAATTGGGTTACACTTTCTTTGATAAATAGTTTTCTCCGTTCCTTTCAGCCAACCATTCCCATTCATGTGGGTGAATTGTTTTAATGTTAAAGTTTTTCAATATATTGTCTCCATTATTAAATCTTGTCTTTTTGCACAAACCTGGATTTAGCAGAAACCTGAAATACTTGTCATAAAAAAAAACTGTCCAGGTTACAGTTTGGGGGGTGTTCTGCCTGCTCTAAGGTCTTTTTGCTTTGCTTGGTATCTTTTATGTACAGAGAAAAATGAGTTTGTTCCTAGCCTAGTCAAATAAAATGAATGTAGTATCATGGAACATTGTTGATAAAACATTCTCATCATGCACATAGAACATGGATCAACTATGGTAGAAAGAAACACAACAGTGAGAAAGAGGCCAGGAGGAGGAGTGGGTAAGATTCTGAATGAGCTGAATCACCTCTCTGCATTAAGTTACAAGGGGCCAGTGAAGTAAGGAGATGCATGTTAGACCAGGTCGGATTGTGCCATAATCATTACATGACTTTTTTTAGAGCCGTGCCAACTCTCTAGGACTAAATGCTTACCAAATACATCTGGTTTTTCTCATTGTATTTATTTATTAGTTTCAGTGATAAGAAGAATGAAATGGTAAGTCATACTGGGGCTGAGTTCTTACTAGGTCATTGCAATTGTTTCTTTCAGAGCTGACCCTGGGTGAAATTGTGAGATGAATTGAGTTTATCTTTGGTAATTCCATCTTTGCTTTAAGCTAGTCCTTTCTGTCTGCTGACAGTTGTCTCTTACTGCAGCAAGAAGCCCAGTGGTCCCTGTCCAGAAAGAGTTGCTGATAAGGAAGACAGTGAATTCATAGTTCACACTAAAGTGATAGAGATTGATGTCATAGTACTCTACTCCTCTTAGGTGTGTTTGCATATTTTAAAAGATGCTGGAAGAGCTGCTTTATCCATGAGAAATAGACTTTTAATGCTGAAATTTTAATGTTGAAATCTATGGGTGGGATATATTTTAGGAACCCCAGATCTGTTCTCTGTGTCTCTGTGGGTGCATTGTTTTTTCAGTTTGGCTCCTAGACTGGGGCTCAGCTTGAGCTTGCACGTTGCTGCTGCCTTTAAAACACAGCTCCCTTGTCACATGCAGAGGACGTGATGGCTGCCTCTCTGTTTGTGATAAGAAAGAAGGAAATGGAGCCCGCCGCCCCACCACCCCCCACCACCCCTGCCATGTGCCTGCCACAGCTGTGACAGCAACCTGGGCCTGGCACTGCGAGCATGTCCCTAGGTTGGCCTCACTCCTGGAAGCCACGTTAGATTATGCCCAGCCATAAAATGACAGGTTGGCTGGTGGAACATTTGGAGCTCTGGTTCCCATCTTGGATGCTGAAAGCCTTCATGGAAAAGCGGCATAAGGTCAGGCCTGCGCAGTGTGTTTTGGACTGTGAAAAGGGCATTGTCCTGGGATCCTGGAGGCATTGTCAAAGCTCAGGAAATGTTGGCTGATCCTCAGTCTGTCTCATGGGGTTGTCTTGAAGGTCAGATGATATAATATATAGGGAAGTACTTTGCAAACTATAAAGTACTATATGAAGGTATGTTAGTGGGATTTTCATTTCCATGTTCCTATTGTCACAGCAAGAAGATACCAGTCATTTCCCCTACCCCTGCCCCAGGACCATCTTATATACTTAGCAGGTTTGTTTGATCTTAACATTGATTTTATGGCCAGGCTTGGTGTCTCACACCTGTAATCCCAGCAATTTGGGAGGCTGAGGCAGGCTGATCACTTGAGCTCAGGAGTTTGAGACCAGCCTGGTTAACATGGTGAAACATCATCTCTACAAAAAATACAAAACTTAACCAGGTGTGGTGGCACACACTTGTAGTGTCAGCTACTTGGGAGGCTGAGGTGGGAGGATTGCCTGAGCCCGGGAAGTGCAGGTTGCAGTGAGCTGAAATGATGCCACTGCACTCCAGCTTGGGTGACAGAGTGAAACCTTGTCTCAGAAAAAAAAAAAAAAAAAAAAGACTTTATTTTATACAAGAAGCCTCAAGAATTTCGTGGAACTGGCATAATGTTGGTTTATCTCCATGCCTGTTTTCATGATCTCCTATGGGGGTTCTGCCATAAGCTCAGATTCTATAATCTCAAAGCTCTCCTTTTAAAAAGAAAGTACTTAAATTGGACTGTGGTCTGTGATATACAGGACTGGCACTGGGGCTACTGACTGCTACTTACCTCATCCTGTCTCATTTTTAAATTTTTCATTAATTATACTGAATTAGCTCAGGCAAAAACATTTTTGTTAAATGTAAGGCATGATTGAGAAATGACATGAGAAAAACCTGCTGGGTGCAGACCTGTAATCACATCATAGATGGTGGAGAGATAAAGATGAACAAGACATAGACACTCTCACAGGAGCTCCTAGGAGGGAAGGCAGATGCATATTATGTACGCACTGCAGGGAGCCAGGTACCATGGCAGGAATAAGCCCAGTTCATGTCCCGGTGTTGGCACATGGGACTATGTAATCAGTTTGGCCAGGAGGGTTTAGAGAAAGCTTTTCAGGGGAGGTGATGTTTAAAGCAAGTCTGAATGATAAATAGGACTGTGCCTAGAGGGGAACAGAGTTCAAGAGAGGGAGACAGTTTGTACAAGAAACGAAAAGGGGTGTGGAGGTGCTAACGGTGGGGAGTGTGGAGGTGCTGAAGATTGGGGAGTGGGATGGGGGGATGTGGCCAGAGATTTGGGGGTGGGGCTTATGTGTGGGCTTGCCCAGGACAGGCTCAGTTTGTTGGTTATACCAGAATGATTATACAACAATGCCACTGTTCCCTTTCAAAAGGGTGCCAGGTCAGACAACAGACTGCATGTTCACACCACTTCTAGGCTAATAGAAATAAGATACCAGTGAAAGGTTTTAAGCAGAGATCTGATTTGGTGACCGTAGGTTCAAGGGTGGAGAAGGGGTGTTAGTTCATAAGAGTAGATCTAAGGTGTGGAGAACCATTATAAAGACTTGAAAGATTGTCTCAGGGTAAGATTATTAGGGCCTGAATTAGGTTGGAATATGTAGGGGTGGAGAGGAGGGGGACAGCTTTGAGAGATGTCTGTGTAGTAAAATCAATAGGAATTAGCAATCCACTGGATGTGGGGGATGGGGAAAGAGAAGTCTCAGGTGATGCTCAGATGGTACCTCAGAGTCATTTACCAGGGTAGAAACTGGGAGAAGATGATGAATTCAGCTTTGGACAAGTGGAGTTTGGGGTGCTTGTGGGAAATTTAAGTTGCAATGTCTAGGAGAAATTGGAAATAAGATTCCAGAGTTTGGCAAGATGCCTGGGCCTGAGGTGTTGGTCCAGTGCCAGGTGGAAGACAGGCACGTGGATAAAGAGGCCCAATGAGAAGATTTAGCAAGAAAAGCAAAGCTTACCAGCAGCAGAACTCTGTGGAGCATTAACATTTAAGGACTTTGGCTCATGGATTATAATTTATCAAACCAACCAAACTCTGTTGAAGGTTTACTTAATGAACACCCATTTTGCTAAGATATTATGTGCAGTAGTACCTGAGTGCTTGCTGTATGCCAGGACTGTTTCACCAGATGGTTTACCGTCTTCCAAATGGGCACCAAACTGTTTGATAATGAAGTTAGAAGAAAGAACAGAACACAAACGGCTTTGAAAAGTAATGTTTGCATTGGTGGTAACAGTGGTTTCTTCCAAGTTTGATGATACAGTGTGCTGTGTGCAGGTTTACGCTTAATGCTGGGGTAAAAAGAACAGATGAACCTACTCAAAACCTACAGTGAGGGGTCTTCATTGAACTTATATAGAACAAGAAAAACTCTTTTACAATCATTGCTTTGTGGAAGTCCTGACAGAGCCTAAGGTGTAAAGTTATCAACTGGATCAGAAACCCCTCACTGTTGTTCATCTTGTTAAAGGAGTCACTCTCCATCGTGTGCAGAATTCCCCTAGGCACTGAGGCAGAAGTAGAAGTGATTTATTATTTTGAAAAAGCTGTCTGATGTCAATCTGTATTCTAACTAAGCATTCCTGGAGCTAAGAACTGGATCTGAAGTCTGATCAAATTGAAATTTATTATAGTGATGAAACAGCCCTGGATTTTTAATACAGCCTTTAGATGCCATCATTGTTGCCATTTGTATGATTGTCACTATGTTGGACTAATTTTTATCTGGAAGAGTGGAGTGGCAAAAAGAAGAATAGATTGAAACGATGGAAACAAGAAAATGCATTAAACTAAATTCATAACTGCTTTAATTGGAAGAGAAACAACAGAAAGAAATTAAAGTATGACATCATCTTATGTGAGGACAAAAAGATGTAGTTGGATTATTATGCTCCTAAGAAATATGGTGTAAGATTTTATGATTTGAAGAGAACATAGTGTGCAGTAAATGAAGTTTGTTTGGACTCAGGGAACCTCAAACTTAAATGGTTGGCCCACAAAGCAAAAACCAGACATGATGTGTCTCCTGATGGAAGCCCACACAACACTGTGATCTTACCAAAAAGTAGAGGTAGTTTTGCCCAAAAATCAAGCCTGAGTCCAGTCAGCCTTCCAGATCCAACCACCAGTTAAGAGGAAATACAGGGGACAGAGGAGCATTTTGAATTACACCATGGGATGTAATCAGCAAAATCCAGACTGTGGAAAAATTTTACAGGAGAAGAGACTTGGTTTCTTCTACCATACATTGGAAGAAAAAAGTAAAGGAAAGAGAACCAAAATAACAAGAGAGAGACATATTAATCATTTGCAATATATGGGCCACGTTTTATCCCAATTCAAACACAAATTATAAAAGAAACATTAACTCCCAGGAGGTAAGTGAAGAAATGGAAACAGTGCCTGGATCTGTGAGGATGTTACAGAATTGTTTATGTTATTTAGGTGTGACTGTGGTATTGTGGTTGCTTAAAACAAAAAGAACATCCATTGGAAATACACTTAAAAATATTTATGGATGATATGATATGACATCTGGGCTTTACTTCAGAATAATGCAGAGGTGGGCAGAGGAAATGGGATAGAATTGAAACCCATTAGCCATGAGTTGTTTACTGAAGCTGGGTGATGATTATATGTTGCATGTGGTTTATTATACTATTCTACTTTTGCATGTATTTGAAATTCTCATTAATGAGTTAAAAAGTAAAATAAAATGACAAATTTCAAGAATATCTGCCTCTTAAACAAGAAAAGAATCTGGGTTATGACATCAAAATGATGCTTGTACTTGAACATGATACCTCTTTTCACTTACAGATTAAAGCTGGAGGGTTTTTTAATGTATATATTTTATCCATAATTCTCAGTTTTTGTGTATTATGAAAAGGTAAGTTAAAAATTCTAAATGACTAAAGTACTGTGCTTCAGAAAGGTTTTTTTAAGTGCTAAATAAATAATAAGCTGTGAGTCAAAAACTGCAGGCAGGAAGAGGTGAGGAAGATCATTCCTTTTGTTCCATCGTCAAGTTCTCACTCACAGTGAATGACAAGTAGATCATCTCCTCCTAACAATTACATAACATTTTGCAGTTGCAAAGTTTAATTTTAAGATAGTTTCCTGAAAGAATAAGGTAAATCAGAAGGATTAATGGTAGAAGTATCTTTATAAAGATAGTACGACAAAGGTTCTTAGTGTACTTGTTTCTTCCCCAGAGTTCCCAAAGCAAACATAAAGGTATTCTATTTTGTACCAGTTTTGGGGGAAGAAAAACTTCCTCAAAAACAAAACCCTGACAAAAAACCTGTTATTTGTGAATTTGAAGCTTGTTTAGAAAAAATAAAAAAGACCTTTTACTTCTGCTAAAACCTTGAATTGTTCCTTATTTGAGACATTTAATACATAACTCGGAACAGATACACATTTCTCCTGGGGAGACGATGGAAAGACACTTAAAGTTTGGCATCTGCTTTTTCTCTCTAGTAAGGCAGTGCACAATGGTGCAGAATAAGTCTGATCTTTTTCTTTTTGTCCCATTGCCTCAGTTTTCAGCTCACATTTCTTGTCTCAAGCCCAGTGGTTTACAAAGAATTATGTTCTCTGCTAAGTCATTGTGGCACATGGACCAACAAGGCAGATAAAGCATGTGTTACTGTTTTGAAGCTGCAGCCCACAGTTACCCACTGTATCAACACTTCAGATGCATGTCATTTTTAAAGAGAAAAAGTGATCTCTGGTGGTAGTTGATTTATAGCATTCCTTTCTCAGGTTTCAAGCCTGGTGACAAGTTGTTGATTTAATTTTTTTTAAATGTTGCTTTTAAAAAATTTATTCTTTTGGCATATTAGCTTGAAGAATGAGTGACCACTTTAGTTTTTGTGCTTGTTTTTTGCTGGTCTAAGCAGTTGTGGCTATCAGGTTGAAGACAGGGTAGGAGAGAAAGAAAGGAATCGAGTGAATGGAAGAATAGGAACTGGAAAGGGACGAACGATATTTTTAAATCGAGACTAATTGTCCCTTGTCATAGATGCTCTCTCCTCCATAATATCTAGCTCATTCGTTGAGTGCCTTCTGAGGACCAAACACTGGAGTTGGCTTGTAATTTAGCAAATAGCAATAGGAGCCCTCATTTTATTTCCTGGTAGCAGGATAGCCTCTTACCTAGTAATTGAGTACCTCTACATGTTCATACCATGCTATACATTATTCCATTTTCTCTCTATAACAAATTTCTGAGGCTGATGTAATTCTCAGTACGCAAATAGTGAACCAGACTCAGAAACGCTAATTTGCTATGGTCTTTCCTGGATAGTAAGTGTCAGAGCCCGGACACAAGCTCAGATTGCAATGCTGAGGTCCAGGATCTTTCTACACCATCCAGCTATCTGGGGAGTTGGGGATTGGGGGGCAGCATTTTAGTTTTTTTCTTTATTCCATCTTAGAGGAAAACTGTCCTCAGGGTAGCAAAGTCCCACCCTCTGGAGAGTCTTGTCTTTTGGGATGATGTCTTTTTGCAAGGCTTCCCTTGGGTTCCTCCTCCTTAAACTGAGGACCAACATTCACCCAGGAAAGGTGCAGTGTTCTCAGACATCAGGCATGGATGGGCCAGAAAGCTCTAGGCAGATTGAGTTTAAGATTTGTTCAAGTTTTGTTGTCAGTAGCTTCTCTTAATGTACATCTTAAGCTACAACTCAGAAGATAAAAATAAAATCAGTGAGTTCAGCATAGGTATGATAGCTCTATTTGCCTTTCTATACCCCAGTCATCATTGGCTTCACCGTACCTACTTCTCTTATTTTGACTATGAATGAAAAAACTAGGTAGTGGCTTTGTTGGAAATTTTAAAATTCATTCTCAAAGTGTGATCCTGCAGACTTCTGAGAGTTCCAGAGGCATTTTCAGGAAGTCTGCAGTTCAAAACTGTTTTCCTTATAATACGAACATTTTATTCATCCTTTTTCCCCCACACTGTGTTGACATTTGCCCCAATAGTGCAAAAGAGAAATGGTGGGTAAAACCATGGCACCAAACTATAAAGTCGTCATTGTATTCTTGATGGCCACACAATTGCAGGAGGAAAAAATCTAGTTTCACTTAAGAATGTCTTTGATGGAACAGTAAACATTATTCATGTTATTGAAGGTCAATCCTTGACTGTATATCTTTGTAACATTCTGTGTGACAAAATGGGAAATATGCTAAAAGCATTCCTGCTTCATACGAAATACTGTTGTGTCTCAAGGAAAAGCAGTTGTGTGATTGAGTTGTTAGCTGAGCTAGCCAATTTTTGCATGGAACACCATTTTTCCTTTGAAAGAAAGACAGACAAACCATACTATGGAACTGGCAAATTTGTCAGACGTTTTCTAAAAAACGAGTGAACTGCACCTGTTACTTCAAGGATAACAACTGCAAGTATTTGCTGCCAGTGATAAAATTAGAGCCTTCAAAACATAATTAGAATTTTGGAAAGTTTATATCCACCATTGTGAGCTTGACAACATCCCAGTACTTATTCTTTTCTCGTGAGTTTATTAACAATTGTAATTTTTAAAAATTGTGTTATGAGATATATTAACATTTAGAAGACGACTTCCAATGATTCAGTGAACACATGTTTTCACAATGGCCAGTACGAGATGTTATAAAATCATGTATGGGTCAAGGATCTCTTGAAAGCATAAGGTAGACTAATGGATATTAATTTAAAGTATGAAAAGTTCATTGATACAGTTTTACATTGCAACCAACTTTTGAGAAACTGCTGCTTGTTTAATTTTATGTGGTATTGAAGAAGAATATCTGCAGTTATCTGAAAAATCTATTAAAATTATATTTTTAAATTACTCGGTGTGAGGCTGGACTGTATTCATGCACTTCAACTAGAACAACTTTGCAATGGACTGAATACAGAGCAGATATGAGAATCTAGTTGTCAGGCCCGGTGCGGTGGCTCACGCCTGTAATCCCAGCACTTTGGGAGGCCAAGACGGGCGGATCACGAGGTCAGGAGATCGAGACCATCCTGGCCAACATGGTGAAACCCTGTCTCTACTAAAAATACAAAAAAGAAAATTAGCTGGGTGTGGTGGTGTGTGCCTGTAATCCCAGTTACTCGGGAGGCTGAGGCAGGAGAATCGCTTCGACAAGGGAGTCGGAGGTTGCAGTGAGCCAAGATCGCGCCACTGCACTCTCAAAAAAAATCTAGCCGTCTTCTTTTAAGGCAGACATTAAAGAGATTTGCAAATTGTAAAATAATGCCCCTCTCTTCATCGTTGGGGGAATATTTGAAAATGTAGTTATCTTTTATTAAAATGTTTATACTAATATGTAATGGAATTGTTATTGTTTTTGATAAATTAATAAATATTTTTAAATGTCTCCATTTAAATTTCTAATTTGACAAATATCAATAGAATCCATTCAAAGCAAACCTCTTTGAGTCATAATATTTTTTAAGACTATAAAGGGGTACTCAGACCAAAAAATTTTACAATTTCTAGGTTAATTTTTTCTTATGTTCTTTCAAAAGCCCAGTGCTTTAAATTTTAATGACCACCGGGAGAAGGAACTGACACATAGTTGTGTATGTTATAATCAGAAAAAATATATGCAATTAGGTGATACAGGTGACAGAATTGTCACTTTTTTGAAACTTTCTTTTTGTTTCTGATTATTTCTACTGTGCATTGTACTTTTTCAGCCAGTTTTTGTTATACGCCTGTTCTCATAAAAATAAGGTCAGTAAGTGACACCAAAACAACTCAGAAGCCTATGGTGGTTTCTAACTTTAGAGCTGCCGGTCACAAATAGCTTCATGCTAAACCTTTGCTTGATTTGAGCTGAACAAGGTAGTCACGATACTTCTGAGCAAGTGGTCAGTGCTGTAAGCACTAAAAGCTGAACCTCAAAAACAGCTCAAGATCCATGGACAGAACCTCAGGAGACATTTCTATGGCACTCACTTACTGACTAGCATTCTCCTTTTGTAATCAAGGTTCTTGAAAAACAGAGGCTGACTCGTTTGTTAATTTTTTTTCAAGCTTTATTGTTTTTTCCTTGAAATTGTAGTGATGTGGTATTCTCTCTGTGGAACTGAGGTTTGGGTAAAACAAGAATGATTTAATTTTTTGATAGAAAAGTTAATTGCTCAAGCGTCTGTTTTCATTATACTTCCATTTTATTTCCAGCAACCCCTTATCTCCCTGCTCTCTTTGTTTCAAATGAACAAGACAGTAGAGTTTCTGTTTTCCAGGCCACTTGCGTTGGTAACCCTTTTCCTAAGCTTTCCCTAATTTCCAGTGGACAGGTAGGAGGTAGGAAGACCTGTTTCTTCCCTTCTTCCATGATATTCATCTTCAGCATCATTCTTTCATCC